TCCAAGCTCGTGTGCTTTTTCATTCAGACTCTGTCGCCTCGACGGACCTGGTTTTCACCTGAGGACGGCTGCTTGCGTTGTGGCCGAAACGTCGTGAGAATAATTTTATTATGTTTTATTTTTGTTATTTTATTATTTCCCTTCTACGTGACTTTACCGAAAGAACCGAGAAGATGAACGTGAAATGTGTACAGTTATAACGCGGAACGTGCACCGGTATAATGCAGAAGGTGCACCATTATAACGCAGAACATGCTCCGTTATAATGCGGTAACGGTGAATCGGTAACGCAGAGCGATACGGTAACCCCTTATTTACCTGTCCCCGCCATCTCACCACATCTTGTGCGTAGGAGTATTGACACCGTACCTCGACAAGCTTTATCGCTACTCCCTTACTTACGGGGAAAATAGTTTTCGCTCAACTTGTCAGGAACGCATCTACTACCGCTACTACCGCGTTAAACGAGGACTCGCCGTCCCGTACACGCAAACAGACCTGAGTTTAAAACTCTGGTAAATGTTCACCGAGTTACATTCCAGAGTGAATTTGTTTTTTTTTCTTGGTTCTTTCGGTAAAGTCACGTTGAAGGGAAATAATAAAATAACAAAAATAAAACATAATAAAATAATTCTCACGACGTTTCGGCCACAACGCAAGCAGCCGTCCTCAGGTGAAGAACAGGTCTGTCGGGAAGACAGCGTCTGAATGAAACACCCCAGGCTTGGCAGCGTATATTTAAGCTGCTGGGTTGGAGGGGGAAGAGCGCCTTGACAAAATAATTTGCATATCAAGATGAATTTACATATTTATGAAATGCGTAGGAGGTGGCCGGGGGGTTTCAAAGTAATATTATGCCCGTGTATTATGCAGGATTAGCAGCATCAATCCCTGCAGTCACGAAAGTTTTAAATCGAAATTGAATTTGTTTTATTTTTGTTCACCACAATCACATTGCAGACACCTTGAACATTGAAGCATCCTGTATTGCACTCTCTGGCATAGCGCCCCCTAACGCCAGGAGGAGGGTAGAGCAGGTGACGCGCCAATTCGTTGCTCGTGGAGAGACAGTGCTCTGACTAGCGGCCAGAAGTGGTAACTGCGGGTGTGAGAACAGCATTGGCAGAAAGAAAGACAGATACAGGCAGTCCTCTACTTACGATGGAGATGCGTTACGACGACTCCCATCGTAAGTCGAAAATATCGCAAGTCGAAGATGGCCTCGCCTACCCAGGAGTCTTAAAGAATGGTGATAATTTAGAAAAACAGAGCAATTTACAGTACCGTACTGTATAAACTATATACTGTATGTATTTATTAATTACAATACTGTATTGCACAGTAAAATGTAAAGGAAAAAAAATGTTAATTCTTAGCCTACCTATATGAACTGCAATTTAATATAAAGTTTTTTCAGGAAACAATCCTATCTGCTATAAAAAAAAACTTTTAACATGCATTGCACGTATCATATCATGGTAACCCTAAAATGAAATCGCTAAAGCTACGTATCACACAAGGTGGGAGATGCGTACAGTATATCCCGGCAGCGTCTCAACGTACAGTATCGTACCTCGTACGCTGCTGCGTTTGCCTGCCGCGCAAAATTTAAAATATTTTACAATTTTGTCATATCGCTATCGCCATCGTAAGATCGAAATATCGTAAGTCGGACCATCGTAACTCAGGGACTATCTGTACATGGTAGAGCAGAGGTCGCAATCGGGTACCCGATACCCGTACCCTACCCAATATCCGGCTACCCGTACCCGGCCAGGTACGGGTATCCGTTTGCGACCCTGGTGCGGCCGGGTACGGGTACGGGTAGGCCGTGAGTCACTGGTGAGTAACCGTTTGTCACTCATTTCCCAACATCTTGTCTCTTCTCACAATTCAAGTTCCTAGAATCAACCGACCCGCGCCTGCAACATGGCTTCATCCCAGAGGTCGCAATCGGGTACCCGATACCCGTACCCTACCCGTACCCGGGTAGGGTACGGGTAGGCCGGGTACGGGTACCCATTTGCGACCCTGGTGCGGCTGGGTACGGGTATGGGTAAGGAATCAAAACCCGTTTGCGACCTCTGCGGTAGAGCGACCACAAGGGGGATATCTGGGCCAAGGGTCAGAGCAGTGACATGCGGTGAGGTCAATGGCTGGGGAGGCACTGGCTAGTGTCAGAGCCAGATTCACACACTGAGGGAGGCGTGTCCTCACTGAGGGGGCGTGTTAGACACGTCCTCCTCAGTGAGGTAGATGTGTAAACTGCCTCCCCTGGTGCTTTTTCATTGCAGTTTCATGACGAGACCAGCGAGCCTAAATATCTTTATACACGTACGTGAAATAAGTTAGCTGGAGTATTGAAGGCGAGGACATGAAATGAAGGGGTCTACAAACATTAGGTTGGTGACATACTGAGATAGTAACAGGCACGCGCTTATTGCCCGCACTCCATCCAGTTACTGAGGGGTTGCGCAATCAGAGGGGAGGCTGAGCTCGTCGCTGCCTCACCTCTCGTCTCTTCCTGTATTTGCAGCGGAGCTCCGCAAATTTGGCGATTTTGACTTTGAAAATGATTGGAATCGTACAGAAATGACATTTATAACACAGATCAGTGGAAAAATCTTGCTATTTATTTTATTTCATTAGTTTTTTACTTTTCGTAACAGCTATTTTCATTGGTGCATTACAGGTGAGGCTCTGCCTCCCCTGCCTCCCCTGCCTCCCCTGACCGCACGTCCCTGGGACAGAGAGGAGATCCATCTGGGAGGTCCCTGAACCAGCTGGAGAGTTCGAGAAAGTGGGCGTGGCCAGGACGGAGCCAGGCCCACGCTGGGAGGATATAAGGGAGCGACGAACGGGGTTCTGGGCTGTCGTGGGGGGTCGGAGTCCTGGTCGTCGTTGCTGTCGTCTTTGTCATCGCTTCGTCGTCATCGTCGCTAGATAGTCAGCCAGCGATCTAGTCAAGTCGGCGCCGTCGAGCTAGACTGTCAGCGTTGTATTCCGTGCTGCCGAGTTGTCGTCATGTGAGTGTGAGGTTAATAAAGGAGAAGCCTCTGTAGTTAACGTCTACAGAGTCGTTGCACTGCGGTAGCACAGCACGAGCTGGTTGTCTGTTGGAGAGTAAATCCACGACATTTACAATCTGAGTGCGACGTTTCGCCAGTAATTACATCTAGCATCGGCACGTTCTGTTTACGTGACACCAGGGGCGGTTTCTTCATTAGGGCGATTGGGCAACGCACCACCAATGTCATTCAACCACAGAGTTACGCTAGCCGTTATTGTGCCTCTGGATATAGTCCAATCAGCGTCATGTCACGTTCTGTGGAGTACCGCCTCTTTTTGGGCGATTTCACTCTGGCTGAGAATCGCCCAGAGTGTTCCCATAGACTTACATTCAAAGATGGTTTTTTTCGAACGGCGGGCGCTCCAATGCATTCTCTATGGCTTCCGGGAGGGCTCGCACTAACGTGCTTACGTCATCATACGTAAGCACGTTTCAGTCAACAATATTATTTGTCGCCACCTAGTGGAATCTTTAATAAAAGAAACTGAGTGGATTGTAATAATAGTGAGTATAGAAACAAACAAGATGTATTGTAAGAGTCACTTTATTTTTCATTAATATTAAACAAGTGAAGTTGCCTTTACATGCTTAAGCTTTTAATTTATCCATTGCATGGGTGGACCTTATCTTTATCAATCATCCAGACATTTGCCCCCCCTGAGAGATTTTGCAGGAGCCGCCACTGCGCGACACAATCTTATGGGTGGTGGCGGGTTTAACGACACATTTATGCTTGAGAATAGGTTTCCCCTTTTTTTCTGGCAACAAAACAGTTGTGATAAGATGTTAAAACACCAAACTGAAACCTATTTACAAGGAATCATGTCTGCATTAACCACGATACTTGTGGTTAGAATGCAAACAAAAAACACACTCTGATAATAAATGCATTGTCCTTGAAACTGATTGGTCCACACCAGAGACGGCTTTCTTTTGAGCCTTGACCCAATTGGTGCTCGAACAGAGGACGCCAAAAGGCGTACAGCTCAAAGACAATGCACTATCAAAGTAATGAGGGCTCGGGGTGAACATCTACATCATTAGACCTCCTTTGGCAGTACCAAAATATAATAATAGGGTTTTCCCCTTTTTTCTGGCAACAAAACTGAAACCTTTTTACAAGGAATCATGTCGACATCAACCACAATACTTGTGGTCAAAATGCAAACAAAAAACACACTCTGATAATATATGCATTGTCCTTGAAACTGATTGGTCCACACCAGAGACAGCTTTCTTTTGAGCCTCGTCTCAAAACGGCGTTAGACCAGAGGACGCCAAAAGGCGTACGTTTATATTTACGCGATCTAACCCAAAAAAACCTCTGTTATGGATTACATCGGTCGTGAAAGCCCTGCTACGTGTTAAACAACTTCCTCTGTTTCATCAAACCCCATGCGTTTAAATGTCGATTTAAAGCTTTCGTGACTGCAGGGATTCATCTTCTTGGTTCTTTCGGTAAAGTCACGTAGAAGGTAAATAATAAAATAATAAAAATAAAACATAATAGAATACAATTCTCACGACGTTTCGGCCACAACGACTTTCTGACAGACCTGTTCTTCACCTGAGTACGGCTGCTTGCGTTGTGGCCGAAACGTCGTGAGAATTGTATTTTATTATGTTTTATTTTTATTATTTTATTATTTCCTTTCTACGTGACTTCACCGAAAGAACCAAGAAGATGAACCCCATGCGTTTGTTCACATTGTACATTCTTTTTTGACCATTGAAAATCAAAGCAGGCAGGGGGGGGCAAGGCTGCATGCGTTAAGGTTAAGAACTCTACAGCGTTGGCGAGTTGGTGCTGATGATATCCCACACCCACCCACCAACACCTCGTTGTGTGTCACCACCGTGCCAGCCTTCCGTAGGTGTTGCTGACTCGCTACTGCTGCGACAAACAGCAAACTTACTACCACCAGCACTCCTAAAACGGTCTGTTACAGGCTACACGGGGGATCTTTGTCTTTGTGAATTGCTGATGTAGAGCGGAAGGAAGGAAGTTGCCGTGGTCTGATTTCTCTGTCGAGAAGCAAACTCCAGCCTTGTTTATCCAGACGCGTGGACACGCGGAGACACCGGAGGCGCAGAGGGACACAGAGACACCGGGCGATACGGAGAAACAAGGGGACACAGAGACATAGAGACACCGGGAGACACGGAGACAGAGACACCGAGAGACACAGAGACACCTTGCGACACGGAGAAACAAAGGAACACAGAGACATAGAGACACCGGGAGACAGATACGGTGATCCGGAGACACGGAGACGCAGAGAGACACCGGGCAACACAAAGACACGGATACACCGGAGACGCAGATAGACATAGAGACACGGAGACACCTCGCGACACGGATAAACAAGAAGACACAGGGACATAGAGACACCGGGAGACACGGAGATACGGAGACATCGGAGACGCAGATTGACACAGAGACTCCGGGAGACAGAGACATCGGAGACATCGACACACATTGCAAGTGTACAGACATACACACTGGCACACCCAGACACACACACACACAAACTGATACACATGAGCACACTGACGTACGTACACACACAGACATACACACTTAGGTATGCACACAGGTCTGCAGACACGTACACACACACAGACACATCGGGATACACACGGACAGACACAGACGCACACACGCCCCCTATCAATGTCTTTCCAAGCGCTTTTTTTCTACCAGATTTAAACGACAAATTGGAAAATGTTGCCTATTCAAGAGATCGTCACTAGGGAACAGTTAAATGTAAGTACTATGTGTGTGTGTGGATATGCGTGTGTGTAGATGGCCTACCACCCTCTCGTGTGCCGTGCCGGCCTTCATTGGTGCTGCTGCTACTCGCTAACAGCACTTACCCCAACAGTCTATTAAGGCTATACGGGAATCTTTGTCTTTGTGTGGGTGAGTAGGTGAGTGAGTAGGTTAGTGAGTGGGTGGTGTGAGTAGATGAGTGGGTGAGTGAGTGGGTGGTGTGAGTAAGTAGATGAGTGAGTGGGTGAGTGAGTTGGTGAGTGAGTTTGTGGGTGGGTGAGTGAGTGAGCGAGTGGGTGAGTGAGTCAGTGAGTGCGTGAGTGAGTGGGTGAGTGAGTGGGTGGGTGAGTGAGTGAGTGGGTGAGTGAGTGTGTGTGGCTGAGTTGGAGATAGGGTGACAATAGTGCCTGTGTATGTGCGTGGGTGAGTGAGTGGTCGACTCAGCCTAAAATGAGTACCTGGCGCGGTGTGTAAAATACCATCGCCACTGGGAAGACAAAGGCGGCCGGGCGTGGTGCTGGCTACCCACCCCATCGCGTGCCGTTCTGGCCTTCATAGGTGCTGCTCGCTAACAGCACTTGCCCCAACAGTCTGTTAAAGCTATACGGGGAACTTTTGTCTTTGTGCGGGGAACGGTGGCGTGACGGTTATGGTGCAATGCTGAGTCTATGGGTAGTGTTGAATCTATGGGCAGTTTCGATTTAAAGCTTTCGTGACTGCAGGGATTCATCTTCTTGGTTCTTTCGGTAAAGTCACGTAGAAGGGAAGTAATAAAATAATAAAAATAAAACATAATATGGGCAGTGTTGAGTCCATGGGCATTGTTGAGTCCATGGGCAGTGATGAGTCCATGGGCAGTGATAAGTCTATGGGCAATGTTGAGTCCATGGGCAGTGTTGAGTCCATGGGCAGTGTTGAGTCTATGGCCAGTGATGAGTCTATGGACAGTGACGAGTCTATGGTGCAGTGTTGTGTCCATGGGCAGTGTTGAGTCTATGGCCAGTGATGAGTCTATGGACAGTGATGAGTCTATGGTGCAGTGTTTAGTCTATGAGGCAGTGTTGAGTCTATGGGCAGTGTTGTATGTATGTTGAACTTATTTCGCACCGTACGTAGACAACCGTGCTAATCGGAGTTGCAGGGTTGGGGGGGGGATAACAAACTAGACACACACAAAGCAGTTCGCCCGACAGCGGGATTGAGGGTGATGAAGTATAAATAGACAGTAGGAGCAGCAGTAGCAGCGCCACGTAATTTGTTTCAAATTCACACGGACAAAAACAGCCCAAGTCTGGAATGAAACCGAGGTCCCTCTCTGGCTGCGAGGGGTAACGAGTGTTACCCTGTGTGCCACCAACCCACCCTGCCATCCAAAATAATAATAACACTTGTCAACACACTTTTTCTGGCATAAGGTATTCCAACGGTTTTAAGGTAATTTTGGGGTGCTGATTCCAAATCTGGCATCAGTTTTTGTCTATCACATCAGGTTTTTGAGATATAAAATATTACATTTTCAATAAAAACTGCAGAAGAAAAATATTCAATAAATGTGGATATCTACATAAATGATATTATAAGCATACTATCCTAAAAATACAGCACCATATTTTAACACTAAAGCAGTCACTGACTCGCAACAACTTGCAATCATAAGTGACAATCAATGAAATCAATGAAAATGGGGTATGCCGATAGCATAAAAATGAGATGTGATAGAGCAAATCTGAGATCAGATTTGGAATCGGCACCCTGAAATTAGTCTAGAACAGCTGCAAAAGTCCAGGCCAGAAAAAAATGTTTTTTTGTTGTTGTTGACCAGTGTAATAATAGTGCGTGATGTTAGCGGTTAGCGCTCCGAACCCGGCGTCCCGAGTTCGACTCCCCACGCTCGCGGGACGATGATCTGAAGCAGTTCCTGGGACCCTCCCCCCTCCGCTAAGATCTACTGGGGAGCCATGAACGCGTTACCTCGGTGCGGTGTGGAGAAGAATGAGAAACCCAACACCCCATGAGCGCCTCGGCAAAACAAAAATTGGCGACCCGGGCGTTGTGGCGTTTGTGGCCACGCGAGCCGCCGACATCGAATTCCGTGCAGAACTTCATGGGGTGGTTCATTCTAGATTTGAAGTTTTCGTGACTGCAAGGATCCATAGCCCCCGGCATTTCTCCTACTTTAGTAAAAAAAATTCTAGCTGTGATTTTCACACCTGATGATGATTGCTTGTGTTGCAATCGAAACGTCGTGATTTAATTTAGTTTTTTTTCTATTTATTTTTACCTACGTGACTTTACCGAAAGAACTCAAGAGTATTCATGGGGTGGTTTTCCGCTCGCTATCACAGACATCTATCCCACCGTGCCATCAAAAACACCCAGCAACAGCAACATCAGCAACACCACCACCACCCAAAAAAACACGCAAACGTGACAGCCACCGATCCCCAGGGGATGAATTAAATTCCGCGGGGATATTTTTGTGTTGTTGACTCTCTGCCCCCCATCTCTATCTCTCTCGGCTTCACGAACCCACGGGCGCCTTGAGGGGACATGGCAACTCCTTGCACTTCATCCGCCCATCGTAAAATCCCACGCGGTTTCCCCCACCCACCGACCCACCGACCCTCCACACCCTCCACTCCCACCACCCTCCCACCCTGGGGAATACTTTTCGCGCGTATCCGTTATAACGCGGAACGCGCGGCCGTTATAACGCGGAACGCATGCCCGTTATAGCGCGGAACGCGCGGCCGTTATAACACGAAACGCATGCTCGTTATAACGCGGTTCCCGAGCGCTTGCGTGTATGTGTGTCTGTGTGTCTGTACGCGTGTGTGTGTCTGTGTCTGTACGCGCGTGTGAGTGTGTTTGTGTGTCTGTACGCGTGTGTGTCTGTGTGTCTGTACGCGTGTGTGTGTCTGTGTGTCTGTACGCGCGTGCGTGTGTCTGTACGCGCGTGAGTGTGTGTGTGTCTGTGTGTCTGTACGCGCGTGTGAGTGTGTCTGTACGTGCGTGTGAGTGTGTGTGTCTGTACGCGCGTGTGTGTCTGTGTGTCTGTGAGTGTGTCTGTGTGTCTGTACGCGTGTGTGAGTGTGTCTGTGTGTCTGTACGTGCGTGTGTGTGTCTGTGTGTCTGTACGCGTGTGTGAGTGTGTCTGTGTGTCTGTACGCGCGTGTGAGTGTGGGGAGTGGTAGTGTAGCTGTTAGCGTGCTGCGCTACAAACCTGGCAACCCGGGTTCGATTCCCGTTCACGGCCAACATCAGTGACGATTGTATGAATCGGTCCTGAGCCTCCCCTAGGTCGACTCAGCCTCAAATAAGTACCTGGTGCGATGTGTAAACATCGCCATTGGAGAGACAAAGGCGGCCGGGCGTGGTGTTGGCCACCCACCCCCTCGTGTGCCGTGCAGGCCTTCATAGGTGCTCGCTAACAGCACTTGCCCCTACAGTCTGTTACAGGCTACACGGGGGATCTTTGATCTTTGTGTGTCTGTACGCGCGTGCGCTGTGAGGGGGTTCAGCAAGTTGGGGGTCATCGCCAGCACGCTGACCGGGGAGTTTGGGGATTCCTTGGGGATGGATGAGTGAGGCTCATTATCTCAGGGACGCGATATGGGTGTTCTAATTTACAGCCAACGGGGAGGGGGCGTGGGTGAGGTCACTGCTACGTGCAAAAGCAAAGGTCCCCCGTATAGCCTTTGTAAAGAGGCTGCACGGGAAGCAAGTGCTGTTAGAGAGTAGCAGCACGGTTGGCTCGCGATGCCCGGTCGGGTGGTTTGATGGGTGGCAAGATGTGAACGCGGGCAGATAGAGGGACAGGGCAGGACATGCGGACAGACGGATGGGCTGAGGGACAGGTGGGCAGAAAGACACGGGCAGACACGGGCGCAGACAAGCGGACAACAACAACCGCCATTCGCCACTAAGTAGCGGTGATGTCACCACGACGCTTGTGCCAGGCCATATGCACCTTGAGGCCACGTGAAGTGTCGAACGCCCGCTGGCAGAAGGTCACGGGGCAGACCCAGCAGGTCCCACGGGTCGACTGACTGAGATGAGTGAGACGAGTGGCTGATGCACCACCTGTGCCCCCGACTGTGCCAAGTTGCTGTGCTTTAGCCACCCGGCGCTCCGCGGACACACACAGACATACAGACAAGTGGACATACAGACAAGCAGACACACACAGACATACAGACAGACATTTCAGTTTTCAGTTTCAGGTATAACCCTGAGAGCCACGCGGCTCTTGACTCGGGATCAACCGCGACAAAACAAAAACATGAACAAGAAACATCTTAAAGTGAACTACGCGCAACAGAAAAATCCTGGGCAAAACGGCAAAGTCTTCCAGAAAGAAAACACCGCATTTCAACGATCCCATGCAGACAAGCGCACAGACACGGGCAGAAACACAGGCAGACACACACACACAGACAGGACACACACACACACACAGCCACAGAGAGGCGATGTTTATTTCTCAGCATTGCGTGTTGTTTGCTACAGGAAGAGAGATCGACGCGATCAAAATACCCGGGGCTTTGCTCTCCTGCACCCAAATCTGGTTCCACCCATCACCGCCACCGCCGCTCGTTCCCCCGGGGTCACGGATAGAAGTTCGTGCGGGAATTATTTCTTTATTTGCGTTCTCAGCTCGTCGGGCTGTGAGCTTGTGGGCTGCCACCACCACCACCGTCGTCTGTCCGCCCCGCATCCCACAGACACAGAGAGGAGTGCTGAGTGGGGAGAGACGCGGGGGTAGGGGGAGACTTGGGGGAGACACAGGGAGACACGGGGGAGACGAGGGGGAGACACGGGGGGAGACACAGGGAGACGTGGGAGAGACGTGGGGAGACACGGGGAGACCTGGGGGAGACACGGGGGAGACGCGGGGAGACACAAGGAGACACGGGAGAGACACGGGGAGACCTGGGGGAATACGTGGGGGAGACACAGGGGAGACCTGGGACAGACACGGGGAGACGCGGGGA